TCCCGGTAGCCGGTTTTTTCCCGGCGCCGCCATCGTTAGTGTTTGTTTTCATACGCTTCGGCGAGGGCGGGGGGAGGACGAGGTAGAGAGAGGAAATCCAGCTGCCCAACCGAGACCGCACTTTCGCTACAACAGGGCCGCCCTACTTAGGCTTTCGGATCCTCTAAGTAGCCATGAAATTTTATTTTCTCCCATATACGTCTTGTCCTCCAATTTCTTCAGACCCTGAGACGGGAGCAAGTTGAAAAGGCAGGGATTTTTGGAAGGAAGCGATCCTCCGGGTCGCATGCGGAATGTGCGACTTCGAAGAGCAGGCCACAGCGGCGGCTGTCGTGAGGACGCGGCGAGGCCGCGGCTTCCCGAGGAGGGCTGACCCGCCCGGGTGGATGGCTGGAGTGTGACCTGGCAGCCGCGGAGAGGTGGGTGACGGGCCGCGGTTGACGTTGAGTGGCCAGCGCCATCAGGCTCCGGTATCCATTTTTAAGTGGCCTTTTGAAAGTGGCGGAGTCGCCTTTCGAACGTGGCTCTCCCAGGCTCTTCTTTCACTCCTGCCTTCCATTCCGTCTGATCTTCCTGTTTCCAACCTCTCAGCCGCACGATTTGGATTTCTCCGGGTGAGGCGAAAGCCTGTTGTTATAGCCACAAAGTGTACGTCCACCAGTCTGGGTCGTGCACTTTAAATTTTTTTCTTTATTTTTTTTCTTTTGCCCCCTCTTCATTTGTTAGACTGGTTTGAGCACCTCCGTCTGTGCTGTACCGATCAGGTGGAGCCACAGGGCTTGGGATAATGAAACCTTCCTTGGCTATTCTGACTAATCCTTAACCAGGATGGTGATGATTTATGTCAGCTCTTTTATGGCTTGTCTATTTAGGAGTAGACTTCTCTTACCTTGTGAATAATTATGGCATCACCTCCATTAATCTTTTGCTATATTCTCAGTTGAAATGTCAGGAATTAAGCAAGCCGCCGAAATTGAACTTTTTTTTTTTTAATTTTTATTTCATTTATTATCATCATTACTATTTGTTTAATTTGACCAGAGAGAGAAAGGGAAAGTAGGAAAGCAAGCCTCCAGGTCCAGTACTTTGAACCGGGGTCTGCCATGTGGGAGTCCAGCATCCCAACCACCACACCACCTGCCCGCCCCAAACTTTCATTATCCTTCAGAGTAAGCCTTCCATGCAGCCATCAGTTAGTGTAAAAAACCCAGTTAGAGGGACAGTACCTTTTGCCTGAACAAAATAGAAATCTGCAGAAAAGGAGTTGTAGCATTTGAGTCACTTGGAAGTCTTCGGTGGGTTTCTAATGTGTCGTCTCTTTTTCCTTTTAACCTTTACAGAGAGAAGATTTTAAATACCAGTGCCATTTAACTGATGGTGAGCTGTTGAATTCTGACACTTCCTTAGATACTTTTTGATACCAACAACTTCACTGGGGAGAGTTGAGAAAAAGAGAAAAGAAGAGACGACATTCCCACTTACTATGGCTATACCAATAACAGTGCTTGACTGTGATCTCTTGCTGTATGGCAGGGGTCACCGGACATTGGACCGTTTTAAGCTAGACGATGTGACTGATGAATACTTGATGTCCATGTATGGTTTTCCTCGGCAGTTCATTTATTACTTGGTGGATCTCTTGGGAGCAAGTCTTTCTAGACCTACTCAGCGATCTAGGGCGATTAGCCCAGAGACACAAATCCTTGCAGCACTGGGCTTTTATACCTCAGGTTCCTTCCAGACTCGGATGGGAGATGCTATTGGAATCAGTCAGGCCTCCATGAGTCGTTGTGTTGCCAATGTCACCGAAGCACTGGTGGAAAGGGCCTCACAGTTCATTCACTTTCCAGCTGATGATGCCTCCACGCAAGCGCTGAAGGATGAATTCTATGGGTTGGCAGGAAAGCCAGGAGTGATAGGGGTGGTTGACTGTATCCATGTGGCAATCAAGGCGCCAAATGCTGAAGACCTCTCCTATGTGAACCGCAAAGGTCTGCATTCTTTAAACTGCCTGATGGTGTGTGACATCAGAGGAGCGCTAATGACTGTGGAGACAAACTGGCCAGGCAGCCTACAGGACTGTGCAGTGTTGCAACAGTCTTGTCTCAGTAGTCAGTTTGAAGCTGGGATGCACAAAGATAGCTGGCTTCTCGGTGAGTTTACAGGTGTAAATCATTATATTGAAGCCATAGAAATATTATGTAGCATAGTAGAATGAATTACGAGTTTGTAAACCTGAGTCTCAAGTCTTACCACTTTTTTTTTTTTTTTGGAGAGGTTTTTGCTATAGGGCGCGTGTGCTCACCAGACAGAGACAGAAAGACAGAAAGCGAGAAATCACCCCCCAGGGGGGATGGCCACACCGCAATCCCTTCTCCTCCATTCTCCTCTCGGGATCTTGGGCATGCACACACACGCGCCGGTGTGAGTTTAAGCCACCAGGTCCGGGACTCGAACCGCGGTCGACTACGTGGGAGTCCAGCGACATAGCCATTATGCTAACTGCTGGTCCCTCAGTCTTACCACTTCTTTATGAGACTCCAGGTGAGAACTCTTTGCACCTTCATTTTTTAAAATCAACACTTAAAAGATACTCATACAATTGTAAAACCTGCAGCTAGCAAGTGGCGTGGTAGTTAATGTGACAGATACCCACTTGGCCAACTCTGGTTTGAGTCCCAGACCAAGTGGCTTGAAACTCACAATGGAGTGTGTGTGTGCATGCATGTGTGCCTATAATCCTGAGAGAAGAATGGACAAGGGATGTGGTGTGGCCCTTCTCCCTGAGTGATTTCTCACTTTCCCTCTCTGTCTTGTCTCTCTCCATACGCACACATGCCAGCTCTTCCACTTTGGAGAATTTGTCTTAGAGGTCTATGTTCATAAATAAAACCACATACAATAATTTGCATTGTTTGGGACCAACAGTTGGCATAATGGCTATGTCACTGGACTCCCATGTAATCGACCACACTTCAAGTCCTGGACCTGGTGGTTTAAACTCACACCAGGCACATGTGCCCAAGATCTCAAGAGGAGAGTGGAGAAGGGATTGTGACCCTGGCGATCCCCCTGGGGGGCGGGGGAGGGGTGATTTCTCACTTTCTTTCTCTCTGTCTCCCTCTTTCTGGCGAGTGCAAGCACTCTATAGCAAAAACCTCTCCAAAAAAAAAAAAAAAAAGAATTTGCATTGCCAACAATATTAGCAGCAACAAGAAAATAAAACAATAATATAAAATCTTAAATATACCCAAAATACTTATACCAGTTAAGAACTAGTTAAAAATAGTATATCCGTACAGTTAAGCCTTAATTTTTGTCATCTGTAAATGGTGGAAATAATACCAAGAGCAGTAATACTTATTGTTAGGATTAGGTGTTACAAACAAGTTCACTGTAAAGTGTTGCAAAATATACAAACATATTTTTCCATAATTGTCACTATGATACCCACCTGAAAATGATAGTAGATGACATACTTACATAGTTCTTACTATAAGAAGTGACTTCACAGATCTGCCCAAGTCTCAGAAATCCAGCTTAGTGATATGAGTAGGATGAGAATCCATCCACCGTTGGCCTCAGCAAATGGCGTGTGGTGGTTAAGGGCCACTGGACCTCCCACATGACTGACTGTGGTTCAAGTCCTGCACCTGGTGACTTGCGTTCTCGCTTTCTCTCACTCTGTCCCTCTCTGATCAAATTTAAGTAATTCTTTTTTAAAAATCCATTCAATGTTAAGCTGTGTGAATGGAAGTGCTATAAGGAATACAAGCAGTTAATGGTGATAAAACCTTGAGCTTTGTTTTGTGTTTGTTTTTTGCCTGAGGGCATGTGCATATTTGGAGACAAAGAGAAAGTAAAAGAACACACCCTCCCCCATGGGGGACGGTCATGATGTAATCCCTTCTTTTCCATCTCTCTTTTCTGGAGTTTGGGCACGCACATATGTGTGCCCCATGTTTTTGTGGGTTTTTTTTTTTTTTTTGAGAGGTTTTTGGTACAGGGCACATGTGCTCACCAGAGAGACAGAAAATGAGGATGGCCACACTGCAATCAATCGCCTCTCCTCCATTCTCCTCTTGGGATCTTGGGCACGCACACACAGGCACCCAGCGTGAGTTCAAGCCACCGGGTCTGGGTCTCGAACTGCAGTCAACTACATGGGAGTTCAGTCAGTGACATAACCATTACGCTAACTGCTGGTCCCAGCCCTGCGTGTTTTTTAAAGCCTCTGGTTACAGGACTCAACTGCACAGTTGGCTATGTAGGATCCAGCCAGCTTAACCATCACACCACCAGCTGGCCCAGGAAGCTTAGTTTTATAGTTTATGTTTTTGTAGGCACCACTCTTATATGAACAACAGAAGGGTTATGTTTTGTATAACACATAATGTGAAATATGAAAAAAATACAGTATGGGGCTGGCAGGTGGCATGATGATTAAGAGTGCTAGATTCCGGGAACCAGCAGTTAGCGTAATGGCTATGTCACTGGATTCCCACGTAGTCGACT